ACGACCTCGGCTCAATACGCCGCTGCTCTAACCACTTGAGCTATTGTGACTTACTGATGAACGATGAATCGTGATAGTGGTTAGAGCCACGGCGTATTGAGCCGAAGGTCGCGGGTTCGAATCCCGCTTGTGACACTAACTTTTTCATCTCAATCACGACCTTACATAAAAATAAGTAATTTGGTCAATTAGACCACGAAACACAAATAATAATAATAAAAAATATTTAAAAACGTTTTTTATTTTGATAAACCTGCGTTATTTTCCGAACAACCTTATAGAATAAAAATTAATTTAAATACATTTGTTGTAAATATATGAGGCATGCAAATACAAAATTGAGAAGGTTGGGGCAAAATATAAAATAAATTATCTCAGGGTTCATTATTTATGGATTTTTTGTAGTAAGGAGCAGGTCTTTGGCTGGAAACATTATACATAATAGCAAACCCTAAGATAATGGAAATTGTCAACTTTAGCAAAAAAACAACATCAATTAACAAATATACTTATGAACTCCTTATTTATTAGCATGCAAAATTATAGTTTCTTTCTTTGTTAAATCTGCGTGAAATGTAGGGTCCTTATGTTAATAAATATAAACAATACCTCACGACTGATTTGATCCTCGTGGCAGGTCTGAGCTTCGGCACGAAACAAATGCTCAGTTCTGCAAGTGAAATGGCCCTGCAAGGGCAGCAGTGAGCGTAAGTATGATGTGGGGTCGTCGTGGGCCTCTGGGGAACCCTGGTTCTGTTGAGACCCGCCTGACCCCAAACCGCCCTCAGAGCGTGTCCCAGCATGGACCTCTTCTCTACCCTCTTATTATACTCCATTAAAATTACTAATTACGTTTAAACACACACACACAATATATATATTTCCTCTGCGAAGTACTTTTAGAAAAATAATCTAAGACACACTGGAAGACTCGTATCACTCTCAGTCAATAAATGGAAGACTCGGTTGCCGAAGGGGCGGCGAATGGTTCACATCTCACGAATCCGTTCAGATGTCGGGCGGTTCGGGGTTGAGATGTGGCTGAAAAGGGCTTTCAGGCCGAGTCATGGCCTAAGCCTCGCGCCTCCGTTTATATCACAGGCTGAAAGGAAGACTCGCAATCAAGTGCGGATTTGCAATCCTGGGGGGCGGCGGATCGATTGGGTAAACGGGAACCGCGCACGACGCCCTACGACTCTCCCCCTTCGCCCTTCACCTTCGAACCAGATGCCCCAGTCGCTTCCTTTTCCCCCCGCTGGGGGGAAATTCGATCAACGAACCACAATTAAATTCGTCTAGGATATGAGCAAAATTCAATTTTTAAACAATCCTTAACAAGAAGCAAACCTTAAACTCTCAAGACGATTAAATTATTCTTTCAATTTGCCCTCCAGCTTCTCCCTTTTTTTGTACAGTTGTGTCAGTTTTTACTGTTGGTGTGGCGAAAGGGTGTGGCATGGACAAAAGAAAGTTAGCACTGTTACAAGAACACCAAAAGAAAACGCACGTGGATCAAGGAATAGTTGAATAGTTTACATCTAGTAATGTAAACGTGCTTGAAGAATTAAGTAGCCCAGAAACCTAGACATTTTAATAAATTAAAGATGCAGCGTCGTGATATTTTCTACTGAACTGACAGGACAATTACTTGAATGGACGGTTAGTTGGCAGGAGGGAACTTGTAGAGCCTAGTCCAAATACACCTGTTACTTGGGTTATACGTTAAGACACGATGTCTCACATGGAAAACTAACAGATAAACTAAGCTGTATGTCCTATTAAATTGGCTTAAAAGTAACTTCAACTGTAATATCAAAATAAATTTTAAAAATGTAGCTTTTTCTTGTTTATTTAAAAAAAAGATCTTAACAAAATTACCAGAACTTTTTAAGACTTGCCATCCGTCACTTTCCACTCATGAAGGATGGAGAAAATAGTAAATTACCTTATCTTGACATATCGATGATTACAGTAAAATCACAATAAAATTATCAAAAGCCAACAAACTCTGAATGACTTGTTCACTTCCCTTCTAACTATTTTTTTTTTCAAATCCAAATCAATGTGATACAATCTCTTAGATAGAACTATTAAATTGAGACCTCTAAAATTTAAAAAAAAGTTTTCACAGTTACACACAAACTACGGATACACTTTAACGTATGGATACGAATTGTGGAGACCAGCATCAAATGCAAACATTAAAAAACTGCACTTTTTCCTAAATACAATTTTATGAATTGACACTAATGGCCAGAGGTCATTACAAATCACCAATGGCACATGACCCGCACAATATAAGAATTTATTAAAAGAAATTTTCCACCATTCCAAAGATTTTCCAAAGAAGTTTCAATGCATACCAGGGCAACAAAATAAATAGTACAAAATCAGCCAGGCAAAGTTCAACCGAAGGCAAACCCAGACTTCTACAATACAAGATTTAATAATTTAGCCATTTGTTCATTATTTACTTTTTTGTATCAATTAAGACTTAATCTGTTCGACTTTTTTTAAACTACTAATTAGTAAATGTGATATTTCATCTTGGGGTCTGCCTATCCTCACTGTTTTGGTCTGTCAGACGTGTTGGGCTTCTAGCCAACTTTGAAGGTAGGTTGGTATGACTTCTGTTTATTCAAGTTGACAGAAATTGCATGGCGAGAAGGGGACCAAAATAAATTTAAACGATCGAGTAAAGATTTTTATTATTTTTTATTGTGACAGATACCAGTAATTGGAGTTCTCCCTGAGCACTGCTGCTCTACACTGCTTATTGTACTCCTTCCTGGATCCATTTTCAGGAGCTCACAACACATGTGAATTGAGCCCCTGGCCATGCCATCGAAGAAACTCATTTTCAAAGGGGGTAGGGCCAAATTCAGGATTGCTGAGCTCCAATCTTGCCCCACACCTTCCATGATGAGCACTGTGTCAATTTTCATTTTGACCACCAGTCCCATTAGAGAAAAAAATTCAGTTTTTTCATTGAGCTTTCGAGGGAGATATTCCTTCATCAGGACTATGAAACCATACTTGCTAATTTAAATGAAGATCAACAACTACTCACAATTTTATATGACGAACTAAGCATTTATTTTTCATTTGTAATTTTTATAAATTACTTAAATCTGGGATCAATTTTAGTCAGTGAAACAGCACTGTGTCTGTTTTTTAAGTGGGGAACACACAACAATCGATACAACTCAACACCACGACCCAATGTCCAATTTTCCATAAGATTGTATCACCCCCATGCATATTTGCTTGATATCAACGCTACATGATGAAACCAAGTTTCCCATTGTCTAGATTTTTGTCAGGTAGCATCGAGTACACTCAAAGACAAAAGAACCGGACACTCAATTTTTTTATTATTTCAAACTATATGTATTTGTATTGTATTTTTAATTACCAAATATTTCCTTATATTGTAATGTAAACCGAATTAAACGAGATCAAAAATTCATGAGTTTCAATAACAATTATTTAGTAAATATGATGGTTTGACAGAAAATTTATCATCAGAATATCATTTAATGATAGAATGAATTTTACTAATAATTTATTATGTGATTTTGCTCATAATAACGCACTAAGAGCGTAGGTAAAAAAATTGTTTGTTAAATTTTACACATTAACTAAATAATTTTTGGTGAATTTTTTTCCAACCATCATAATAGAATATTTTTTATTAAAACTCATGAATCTGATCTCATTAATTTGGCTTACATTAACATAAGTAGCAAAAGTTACATTAACATAAATAGTTAAAGTACATTAACATAAGTAGTAGAAAAATGGCAAAAAGGAGGGAAAACTCAAAAGGTGGGGTTGAGATAGGAAATTGGTATCTGAATGGATCGAGGTCACGATAGCTCAAGTGGTAGAGCATCGGCGTATCTAGCCGAAGATCGTGGGTTCGAATCCCGCTCGTGCCATTGACTTTTTTATCTCAACTAAAAACCTTAATTAATTGTAATATNTTTTAGTTGAGATAAAAATGGCAAAAAGGGGGGAAAATTCAAAAGGTGGGAATCAGATGGGAAGTAACTGTCCGAGTTGATCTAGGTCACGCAAGCACAAGTGGTAGAGCAGCGGCTTATCTAGCTGAAGGTCGTTGGTTCTAATCCCGCTCGTGCCATTGACTTTTTTATCTCAACTAAAAACCTTAATTAATTGTAATATATTAATTGGTCAAGCGGACAACGAAATTAGTGAATTTAATAAGTAGTAAGGTTCACTTCATGAATCCCAGTTTTACTTTTGATAGCAAGCAGATCCCTGCTGCTGCCATTACTTCCTGTCCTTCTAATATTTTTCCTCCAGTTCACAAATACTACTGTGATATACAATGTATCGTCTGTCACGTGGCATGTTCTTGCGATGTGTGAACATCCCATAACATGCGATAAGGCGTTGAATAAGTGTGCTCCACACATTATTTATTTATTTGTTTATTATTATTATTTATTTATTTTTATTTTTACTAGCTCCACTTTTGCAACCTGCTTTAACCTTTAATTTTCATTTATAGAAGTCTTTTTGTTTTTAAATGATAATATTTTTTTTAATCTATACAAAAGTTTCAAATAATATCTGAATTTAAATGCTATTTACAGTTGAAGTATGTGAGTTCAATGAAACGTCAAACTTTGCAAGACCATAAACGACTAACCGATACCAACTCAATAAAGAATTCAATAAACATACATTTTTAAAAAGTTTGTGTAATTGTTTTATTAAACTACATCAAAATATTTTATTTCTATTCAGGATTTAAACCCAGAATCGCTAACATATCAAATAGGAGAATGGAACGCTTAACAGCTCAAGCTATGTCAATGAATTTTTTTTGTTATTAACTATTTAAAATGAGAAAAAAATGAATCCTCAAAGTATTCAAAGAAAAAAATCAACTCAAATTGTTCAAAAACTCCCAAAACAGTACAATCAAGTTTTCATGGGGGGGGGGGGAGAATGTAAAAATAATAACTTACATAATTCTTCCATATTCGTCCCTTGGCTGTTCTTCGAGTTTGGAATCATTTTTCATAAGCATCGATCTATATGCTGCCACCTTTGTTACGATCTCGTCTTGTGGATAGCTGAAATACAAAACAAAATTTCAAAAAATGAATGTCATTGAGGATGAGGAAGGGGAAAGGGTTTTTAAAATTATTTAAATTAAAAATATTTTTTTTATTAAAAATAAAAAACTCACCCTTGCTGTTCAAGAACTTCCTCCAGTTCGATGCATTTGATTTCGATCTTCCTCTTCCTTTCATGATCGAGTATTTCAATGTTGGGCTGCTTGCTTCCCGCTGAGTCAATTTTTTCGATGTCTGCCTCGGTCCTGTAGCTGTGCTTTTCTTTCGGCTTCCTGACGAGGGCAAAATTACGCTGGACATATCCGTTGGTGCCCGACCCCCTGGGAGTCGTGAGACCGATACCGTTATACATCTTGAATTAGATCTGAAACACACAAAAGCAAAGGTTTAATTAATTAAAAGTGGTATTCTGTATTTGACATGAAAATACATGTTTTAGTATAAAGGAAAAAAGAAGTAAAGGTATATTGGAAGAAATGCTTAAACAAGAGACTATGATAGTTTGATCCTTCCTGATTATTTTGGACTCCTCCATTGGTACACTTTCTCTAAAAATGATGATAATTGTATTCCCCAAGCACTGTGGCCTTCTAGCTTATTTTTTCTTAGTTCCTTAGTTCAGTTCAAATGACTAATCCTTCTCTTACAAAATATTAGGTAATTTACTTATTTGCTTAATTGCCACTATTCTTTTTCACGTATCTTCTTTGTATCCTAGAGTCTTCATCGAGCAGTTGCTTCGCATTCAAAGATGATATGGAAGTTTTTTCCTCCTTATTTCCTAACCTATAAATGAAGTTATAATTGAACGTACCCGAGTTGTGTAGGTGTTTTATCGGCTAGCTTTATATCCCCCTACCCATGCGAAAGTCTCTTCTACTCTCTTCACACCCAGTTAATTTGTACATCTCAGAAATTAATAACTGCAAAAAGAGCCAGGGGCAACGGTGAGATTCAAACCCATAACTGCGGGATCTAAGAGCTGAGAGTCTATCACGCTGACCTAACTGATTATATTATGAAAAATATATTGTAAAATGTTTTGACCCCTCATCCGTAATACTTAACAAGTAGTTGGATGTTAAGCTCTCCTGATGACAGGAATTACTTTACTGTTTTTGACTATTTAGATATCGTGAGAGGCAGTCTAATGTGATGTAGGTTTAGAAAAACATTGTCTTTATTGTCCAACATTTCTTTCTTTATTGAGATCATCTGGGACTTGGAGTTTTTACAATGACGTACACAGTATAGAAATTTTAATTTTGACTTACCGGTGTGCTTTAAGCACAGAACGGGTGATAAATAGCTCTTAAAGGGTGCAGTATAATTCACACCCCGACTAATAGTTATCTATCTATCTCTATGTCAAAACTAAATGCAACGAGAGAACACTCAGAACCATAAGCGCAATAAACATGGAACTGCTCATTCAAAGCATTGTGTTTGAATTATTCTTAGGAATTGGCAACACATAACCCAGCCATTTGAATATTATCAGAACTGGAACCAAGAGCAAAGGGTTTCACTACATCTGCTGACAATAATCATTATTTTTTTAATTTAATTTAATTTTTTTTATTGCCACACAGTCATTGATGTGGCCATTAGGCATTACAATGAGCAATGTTTCAATCAGTTGCAAGAAAATCAGTGTACTGCTGCAGAACCTGGAGATGATGGGAGCTGAGGCATTCCTCGCTCATGGGTTGAATTATGGTAGTGTTTTCTTTCACCGACTACTCTGACAAGGAGCCTAGTTAAATTTTTATTTTGCACATTTAAAAATTCCCTGCATCTTGGTATGAGTATTACATTTCATCATTCATTAGGTGCAAGTTCTTGTAACTAGGATAGGAAAAACTGCAAGATAGTACACTAAGGAGCTGGTGGCAAAACTATGGAGCTGATTAACAAACTGAACCTAGCCAGTGAATTATAAAAAACAGGTGAGAATAATAGATCTACTCAGGTCGAGGTGCAGAAGGCCTTGTGGTAGCCTCTTTTATTCCTATCCCTATGCAACGACCATGTGGTTTGGCAGGCATGAGAAGAATCTACCGGAGAAGCCTCAAATCACTCTTGAGGTTGCTTTTGAACGCGTTAACGTTCTTCGCTTCAGATTGCTTTAAGTTCATAAATGGTTTGTCTATTTATTGTAAACACCAGGGGGGATGTTTCATAAAGTAACAAGTTACAAGTGTACAACTAAATCAAAGGTGAATTTTCACAGGTGTCCGGAGGACTGTAAACTGCAGTTTGCCATTGTAAATAGTCCAAATTAGTATTGTTTTGGCTGTTTATCATAAACAATGTGGGAATCATCTTCAGAAGAAGATAATAAATATTTATACTAGAAACGAAATAAGGATTTGAAGACAAAGACTTCTTCGAAGAGGTTTCAGAACAAGAATAAATTGCTACTTTAATAGTACGTCTGAATTTAATGAATGATTCCGAATGTCTCCTGAGACTCCAATATCTATTAGAATTGGAGAAAGAATGAAATGCAATTCATAGAGTAACCATGCACTCTCACCAAAATTAAATGAAAGCACTGCTTTTCATTGATTGCGTACCAGGTGTCAGTACCAAGCTGTAGGAGACATGCATAGGTATGTTCAAAGCAAATATCTCAAGAGCTGTGCAATCATTTGTGACAGCAGTGAATGAATCATTGTTCCATGTAATTGCCAAGTGGCCTAAAAACTTTGCGAATATTGTGAACCGCTTTAACAATGTCGCTCACATGCCCAGTGTCATAGGATGTATTGATGGAACCCTTATAAACATTGAAAAACCTTATGAATACAAAGCCAACTTTGTCGACCGTCACGGAAATCATTCGCTAAATCGTGTTAGTATGTGGTCCTGATTGTGCATTTTATTATTTAAAAGCTTCATGGCCAGGCTGTGTTCATGACAGCAGGGTTTTAAGAAATAGTAACCTTTCGAGGTAGGTGACTGTGTCTGACATCGGCACTTGTAACACTTTCCTGCAAAATTGTAATTTTTATAACTATAAACTTTTTGTTGTGAAAACCGTGTATTACAGGTACTTGTACCTGTAGAATTGTGAACTTGTAACTCTATTGTTTTATGAAATAGTCCCCTGAAATCAAATCTGCTACAACTGCAAAACATTTTTCAGCCTTTCATGACCCAAGAGAAATTTCACTATTTTGTGGTCTTTTGCCACGGCCAAGGCCATTTTGGTTTTGTATAAAGCTTCTTTTTTTTGATAGTGCTATGTTAGCCACAATGTTTCTGTTTTTTTTACATTAAATCAGACCTCAAAATGTTCACTTATGTAAAGGCAAGTTCAAGATGGTAGGTATTTGTTTAAAACTAATACTAAATGAAGTTTTAACACTGGTGGAAAGGCACAAATCGATTTGTGAGAAGGTGAAGTAAATCAAAAGATAAACAGTTACGACATACCTTTTCAAAACGGCATCAGGCTCGTCGAAATCATTTTAATATCCTTTTGTCTTCTTCAAAAAGGGCTCAAAAGTTCAGAAAAGCCTTGTCGAGAGGATTTTCGACCAGGGCGTGAAAATCATTGCAGGCTCTCGCCTTCGCTCCTGCGCGGACGGTCTCGGGGGCCGGGAAAAAAAAGTCACCTTGCACTTCTGCCTCGTTTAACCGACGGACTGGGGCTCGGTGCGGGATCTGGCTCCTTTCTCGGCCGGTGGCGGACTTTGAAATCCTCCGGGATGGGCAAACGGCGGTTTTTGAGTATTTACGACGGGCCGTGGAGTACGACGAGGAACCGGAACCGAATCAATAACATCAACAGTGACTAAAGTAGAGCTCGAGTCTCGACAGCGTTGATACTCGTAGTCTTGACGCAGTGTTGCCCAAAGGTGGCCGCAAAAATTTCCCTTTTTCTCCCTTTTTTTGAAATAAAAATAATGTTCATATATTTTTAACAAATACATTACTTATTTATAAATCTACCATTATTCCACAATTTATTAAAAGTATTATATTTCAAACATTCTGAAACGATAAAGCCAACATTTATTAAATACCCCCATTTACCACAAAATAATTATATATATACAAGTTATAAATTTGACTCGCGGATGTAACTTACTATGTATATCCCACAAGAGTAGTGACACAAGTCGAAAAATTCTAAAAGCCGGATTATTTAATGTTTTTTTTAAGTATTCGGGTTAAGTAAAAAAATGACATCACTGTAAGTTGACTCTTAGCTGCTATGTAGCACCATGTGTCACTTTTGAATTGGCGGGAACGCACTCTCGCCATTGGGCATTCACGAAAAGTCGCAGTTTTTAGTTCGGTGTCCAGGTTTATAGCACGTAAGTATTTATCAGAAAAAGTTTTCAATTTTTCATTTCTAGTTAGGCTTTCTTCTTGTTTACTGAAGGAATTTATCCTGCTTCGAAATAACTTACTTCTCGGGAACACCATCACGGTATGGTCTTGAAGAAGAAAGCGAATTCACTTGTTACTGCCAAGCTTTCGACCTATTTTAAGGTTATCAAGGCAAAACCATCTAAATATGTCAATGTGTACACATATTGAAGATTGTTTTGCTGTGATGACTTTAAAATAGATCGAAAGCTTGGCAGTAACTGAATTTGCTTTCTTCAAGACGACCTTGTTCCAGTGTTAGTGGTCAATATTTCTAATACCGCCAACTACTATTGTTATAATAACCGACAAATCTTTTTTGTATAATATTCCTGCATGTCACGGGATCGCAACTTCGAGTGTACGCTCATGATTTACATTTTGGATTAATATAAGCTCAAATTCGTACATGTGCCGAGTTGATCCTATTGGTTTCTTGTCTCCCCCTGGCAATTCCAGCTTTGCTATTTACAATAAACTGCCGGCAGACTTGAGAATCATCTGTTTGGCAGTACGGAGACAAACCTCAGTCTTACCCATCCAACTACCGTGGTAGGGATCGAGGGGGGTGCTGTAAATATCTAGGTCAACCCATTCGCACCATGTTCATTCCTAAATACATTCACTTCTATTTACATACCATTCCTTCAATTACACATATTATATTGTAGAACTAACCTAAGGTTATAAAAGGTTGATGTGGTACTCCATATTCCGCCAACAACATTCTCACATCACACATTCACACTAATAAATACATTCACGCTAATAAATGCATTCATTCTCAACACAAACTAGGTATACACAACTATTATTACTCAAGCACAATTCTCTCTTTCTCGGATGGAATTCATGTTTTTGTTTGGAGCCAGGGAATTGCACCATTCCATTAGGTGGGTGGGACACGGGCAACCTTTCTCTCCATGCCACATACGCGGGCTATGGCCCAAAGAAAAGGTAATAATAAAAGTTGCATCTACTAAAGCCGGTACTGTAAAGTTCTAAATGCTTCTTTTTTTTTCAATATTTTACTACAATCTGTAATTTTTTATTACAATATGTATGTAATTTGATGAATGCCAATATATTTATAGCTATTTACATTGAGGGGAATAAATAATTGAAATTATTCTCCCACACATAAAGTAAATATAGATATACATTTTAAAAAAATTTATGTTTTGAGAATGCAAAATGCAACCAGCACCAATTTTTACAACCAAAACTATTTTTGGTAGGCAAAATATGAATAAACATAAATACATTATAATTTAAGGGTTATGCGTTTATTTTGTCCATCAATGTAGAATTCGAGACGTTGAGAAACTATTCAATTACAAATCATGGTTGGCTATAGAGAACAATAATAATTATAAAGCCCTTCTGAAATTATTCACGAGGCAGACATGCCAACTTAAAATGTGGAGCATAATTAGGAAAAAAGAGAAAAAATAAGGAAGAAATTAAGAAAAAAGGAAACAATGAGAAAAGAAAAGTGGACACCTACAAATAAAATTACAAGCAAAAACCAAAAAATACTATTGAAATATTAATTGTAGGGAACCCTGACTTCCTTCTCGGGTCAGGGCTACCATAATAGAGTTATAACTAATAACAAAGGCAATAAAAATTGTTCAAAAAAACCTGTAAATTATAAATATTTCTTGTTTATTTGTTTGATATAATTGTCTATTTAGTTAGTTGTTTTTTAGATATGTACAACCTCGTCCATGAGTTGAAGGCATGTAATTAGCCCTGTATCCAATTGCAAAAGCAAAGGCAAAAATATCTTTTTTTGTCCTTTTTTTATTTTATTTTTATCCTGTTTATTGTGCAGACATGCTGCAAGTAAAATAGCAAAGTAATTAATTCCTGTCATACAGGAGGGCGCTCCCCGTTGAGTGTTGTGGACAAGGGGTCAAACCACTTTACAATATGTTTTTCATACTGTATTCAATTAAAAAGCCATGAGCTAGGATGGAATTCATACCCAGAATCACCATCATACAAATATGTGTCTGATGCCCAAATCATTCTGCCACTGTAGTCCCTTGGGAGAAGACATTATAATGTGCTTAAGATTCTTGGTATTTCACCCACCATACATCAATCAAGACATACTACACCTTCACACACTACCCCACTCAATCACTAAAAACATTTTAAGTTACATGGCCAACATTGCTTGAATTGGAATTTTTGATAAACAATCAGAAATCATTGCTAATTAAAAATCTGAGGAAATTCTTTAGAAGTGAGTAAAACGACAACTGACCACTAAATACAAAAAGCTGAATGATACCTGAGAAATGAAACCAGTGAGGTTAGGCCGACAAGGATAATGGGAGATGATCAAACCACAAATTAAATACTGAACATATTTTTTATTTACAATGTACATGTTTGAATAGTTATATTTACATATAAGAATTATTATACACATAATTTAAAAAAATCTAACACCAATTTCCATCTATGTGATGATGGTGGCCATTCATGTGAGCTGAATGACTGTTTGAAGTATGATTGGATATACAGTGCCCATTTGACTGTAGGATTTGATCACTTTTCACCGTGTTTGACATCTGTCCGTTGGACATGGGGATCGGTGGAGCTTCTCCTTTGTGGGTGCGTTTAAGTGGTTTTTTTTCACTGTCCATGGACTGGAGACTCGTTGCACGATGGAGTGACAGCCGTATTGGTTTTTTGGGTGGAATTGGCCTAATTTTATCGTGCTTTTTGTAATATCTGAGCGAGCTCTCTGAACTGCAGTCGTTGTGGCTGCTAACATCACGTATGTAGCTTGATTCAGAGTCAAAATCTGAATACTTGGAGCTCTTCTTGTCCATGAAGGCGAAAAGGGAGGATCTTGCTTCTCTGATGTGCTTCTGCCTCTGCTCACCATGGAGGTGATCTGTAGAACGATCATGGTGATGCCTATGCTTCCGCGTAGGCACACCAGTGTCTATATTGAGAGAGTTTGTGCACCTTTCTTGCGAAAGGTCCTTTTTCCTTTTTGGCTTTTCTATAAGAACATCGACAGATTTTGTACTCCTGACTTCATCATTAGCCTTAGGGCGTGGGGATGGAAGCTGTTGTTCTGATTTATCAAGTCCTGTAGTATAAAATAAATATGTTAAAACGTTGAATTTATAAACATGAAAAAATCAAATTACCAGGTAGGTTGGCCACAAGTGCAACTTGATTTCCTTTCTGAAAAACTTGTGGCATTGGTGCAGCCTTACTTTCCCTTGCCCTTTCAAGAAGTTCTGCAACCTGTTCCTCGAGATAGGATATCCTATGGGTTAACCTGAGGTTATCACTTCTAAAACTGTCCCTCGTCCTTTCAGCCTCCCCAGCCTTTTCTTTTACAACAGACAGTTCAGCCTGGAGGTGGGACATGATCTGCTCGGGTCGTTGAGAGTGCTTCCTCATCACAACAATCTGCGCCGGGCTTGGAGACACACTGAGCAGTCGGCACATATCTTCTTTACCTTTTCCGACCACTAGCTTACCATTGACCTCCAAAAGCCTGAAAACATTGACCTTCATTAAATCTAATGTAAGATTGGAAGAAATAAATGTATGGCCACACCCCACTTGCATATATCGATTAGCACATTTGTAATGTTTTATAAGAACAATTAAATTTAACAAAAAAAACTATTCTTGATTCTTAATTACATTAATGATGACAATACCTGTCTCCTTTGCAAAGTCCTGATCCATCAGCAGCCCATTCTATATACAGAGCACCTTCTTCTCTTTGCCCAGCTCCAAACTGAGGACTTTTCGCATCGTACATCAGTTCAACACCTATCAGACTAACAGCTGAATTACCTATGTAGCTGTAATTACAATTATTTTAAATATGTACAATAAAAATTTAAAAAACTTGTTTTATATAGTAGTCTCAGTAACCTGAATATTGTTTGCAGAGAGACGACGTTTTCCTCGAGGCATGCCTGTAAATTTCTTATTTCTTCAAGAATGCTCAAAAGATTCAGCTCTTCCCTGCCAAGTTGATACTCCAGTTCAGCTTGCTGGATTCTCACGTCGATGTTGCTGAAAGAAGAAAATAACTTAATAGACGTCCACTTCATACCTTTAATTAGTTTCTTCCAGAAATTTATTAACAACTGATGGCAAGTAAGTCTTTAACTCAGTAGATTAAGATTTTTTCTCCCAAGGATATTAGAAAGCACAATCAACTAATGGTTGGTACACCAGGAGGAAAACAATTACACAACAACATGTATCTTAATTCCCTGGGAATCTGGGAGAAAACGCGGAACGAAGATGTCCTGATGGCTTTTAGAGAGGAGAACATTAGGGAACGAGTAGAGATATTGATCGCATCGATTACTTCATAGATTAGCTAATTAAAAATATCAGTTAATTACTCGGATATGTCAATGGTGTCCAGGGCGATTTTGATGTTTTTGATGGCCAGCCGTTTCGAATCCTGTTCGGATTTGAGCCTCAGCATCTTGTCCTGGATTGCCTTTCTTTCTTTGTCGTTCAGCCCGTTTTGTACTGGCCTTCCCAAGGTACTCCAGCCGTTTTTTAAACTGAAATGATCCACAAAGATATGTATTTAAAATTCGCATGGTCGCGTCCTTAAATTTTGTAAAATTTGTCATCAGTTGCTCTACTTTATTTTTAGTCTTTCATATTTTAAGTGTTACCAATGAACGTTTTCTTTTTCTTTAAACGCTGCTATCCGCAGTCCGTCCAATTCCCTCGAGATGTCTTTGTGGCCGTTTACAGCCGGTGGATTGATGATAGTGCCGTTCGTCTCAACTGGAGAGTTGATGAAGAGGTTGTTGGCGATGTTGTTTGCTGGCACGGCAATAGGCATCGGGGGCACGGGCGTGCTTGCTGTGCTACCAGACTTCTTTCTCCTCGGCGTCGTCGACAATGACACCTCTATACTCGCCATCTGAAAAAAGATGCCATCTAAGAAATACCGGCAACAGCATAAGCATAATTTTCGAAATTATTAAAAAAGAAATCAACGAAAAATTGAGGAGCTGGAGTAACGTTAAATATCGTTAACTTTTCCAGGCCATTTTTATACCAAAAATTTTGGGGGGACTCAACCGATCCCAAACCTCACTATGTCATACCAGAAAAATCTATAACACCTTTAACAATCTCAAAACATTCCTAACAGTCTTTAATCATTTCCTGCATAATTTTTTGTTTTGGCTGACAGATAAGGAGTGAATTTTTGCAAATTCAAAATGTACAAAATAAATGTTTATAAAACACTAAATATAAAATAATATATTTTTTCTTAACTTAACGAACCGTGTATAAATGAGTGGAAATCAAATAAAAACACTCTAACTTGCTGTGTAGGGTTGATGGGTTTTGGTCATCGAGTCGGTGAACTCAAAGCTGACCCGGCACAGGGTCACTTACTGGGTCTATCTCCACTCGCGTTTGAATAACTGCGTTTCGGCATTGCTCAATCTTCAGTGAGGAACTCCTTAGAGAGAGAGAGAGAGAGAGTTCCTCACTGAAGATGGCGCAATTCCGAGACTCGTTTGAATAACTAAAAAACCGAAAGTTGAGAAAGACCCAGTAAATGACCCTGTGCCGGTTCAACATGAAAAACACCCTAACTTAACACTTACCCTACCTAATCTAACTAACCGTCACTGACTTTAAACCCACCCCTACCTAACGTAACTTTAACTCGTCTCTAACCCTAACCCTACCTATTTTAATCCGTCCCAAACTTTAATGTAAAGGTTAAACTTAAAAAGATATCTGTACAGGTTTGGTTTTGCTGCTTAACGAATCATGCATAAATTACAGAAAACCAAACAAAAAAAACCTAGCCAGTTATTAGCCCTAACACTACTAACTAAACTAATCCGTATCAAACCTCATCCCTTACATAACCTAACCCTATACTTATCTAAATAGTTTTCCTATCCCTAACCCTACCTAACCAAATCCGACCCTAACGCTAAGTTTAAGGTTAATAAGACTCGGCCTCTACGAACTTGCACACCACGACCAATTGTGTTTATTGTGCCACCTTCATTAATATCTAGAGCTGTTCGTTAAGCTTAAGGCTTTTTAAGATGAAATTCCTAGTCCTTTAATTTTGGCTGATAAATTTATGCCATGGGATATTTATGGAAGTTCACGGCCTCTTTCTTTTTCTTTAGATTGTCTATACATATTTCGGGCCCACTACTGGTACATACAAGCCTTGATAAGGGATAACAACAGTATCACGAAATACATACAGGCAATAAAATGTAAAATAAATAGGTTGTGAACTCCAATAAATACACCCATCACATTACAGCTGATCCCGAAGTTTATTAAGGGCTCTCGTGTATATCCTATGGGCTTTGGCTATTCCACATCTTCCTAGTAATATCTGCATGGGCTCGTTTCTCTAGACCTTCCCTCCATTCTACTCCCAAACAGGTCCTAGGTTTAGTATTTTGAAATAGTTTAGTAGTTTAGTTGTATCTGATGGTTTTTTGACGAATTTTGCCGTATGGCTCTGCCTGATACATATAACCCCAATTATGGACACCAGGATTTATTCTTGACCCATTGCCTGATCGATCTAAGTTGTTGGCAATTCGGTATGGCGCAAATGAGGGCTGAATGTAACTAATCTAAACTAAAGCAACCATCAAACATAAAATATGCACACTCCCCGTTTTCGCGAAAACGGTCACGCAAACAAATTGTGAACAAAGCCCCAAAACATATTAATGTTAAATTATTTTAGCTTGAAGTAAAACAACTGACACTTGATCGACACGATTAGTTTCGCTTAATCGCGTTTTGGTTTCATGCTATCTTTAGCGAGGATCAGGAGTGAAACCTAGACTAGAGAGAATAGACTTCCTAGTAATGTGATCAGTGTCGATCAGTTCAATCAATACACGTGGATCTTCCAATTGGAGACCCACCAGCTTCATCAACTTTTGTACAATAAAAAAAAAAAAATTCATTTCATTAAGCACAAAATGGCAGATTTTGTGCAAAAAAAACTTGAGAATAATATTTCTTAGTTCATGAATAAATTATGAAAAACAATATTTTCCGAACAATTTTTTGGTAAAAGATCAGTTTTTTCCATTAAGATATACAATAATACAAACTAGAAAGAAAAATAAATATATTTTCTATCCCAGAAAAGTGTTACATCTGCGATTCCACGGTCGGAATCCTGTTTGTCTTAACTGTGCTCGAGCGGCGCCAGAAATAGATAAAAAAAGAGTCCCCTATTTTCGATTTTCCACGGTCCTTTTCATTACCGTCATTTTTCCCTCGGGGAAGACGCCGAGTGCAAATCAAGGCATGTAACCAATTCGAGGACGAGGAGGACCAGAGAACAGAGGATTCACACTGCGTATGTTGCCCGCGGTCATGATTTTTCTTATAGGCAAGAACAAGGCCGGTCAACTCGTGACTGAACATTCGTGTGAGCGTTTAGGACGAAACACAGTAGAATATTGAACTTGATCGCTCCTCACAGCTTGAAAATAGCAACTGTTAACTGATAGACCCTGATCACTTTACTGGGTCCCATTCTATTATTCTAGCTGATTTACGTTTCACTTATGCATTATGCTCATTTCTGTTTCACGCCAATTTAACATTGAACAGTACCTCATCACCAGGCTAAACCGCCAATCATATATCAATCTCTCTCTGTCACTCACTCTCTCTCTCTCTCTCTCTCTCTCTCTCTCTCTCTCTCTCTCTCTCTCTTCTTCATTCCCTCTCACTTTCTCAGCATGTCTATCTATCTGTTTTTGTCTATTTTATCCTTTCATCCCTTATCTCTCCCTTTCTTCAATCATTCTTTCTCTATCTCTCTTCCTCTCGCCCTTTCTTTCTTTATACTATCATCATTTTTATACCTTCTGTCTTCCTTTTTCTCTTTATTTCTCTCTCTCTATCTATCACTCTATCTATTTAGATCTCTCTCTCCTTTCTCCCTCCCTCCCACCCTTCTATCACTCTCACTTTCTCTGTATGTTTATATATCTGTCTAACCAATTTTCTATATATTCCTCCTTTTCGGTCTTTCTCACGTTCACTCAATCTTTATCTATCTGCCTACTCATGTGCTCTATTTACACTTTTCTATGACTATTTGTGTGTCTCTATTTACCTTTCTCTCTAGCTCTATCTATCAATGTCTTCCTCTCTACCTCTCTCTGTCTCTTTCTCTCTGACTCTCTCCCTCTATTATCTATCAACCTATTTATCAATCCTCCCTCTCTCATTCATTCTCGCTCTTTTTATTTCTCTCTCTCTACACTCAATACACGTTAAGTGTAAGAAAGGACATCAGGTTAATCTCTCTCTCTCTCTCTCTCTCTCTCTCTCTCTCTTTCTTTCTTTCTTTCTTTCTTTCTCCTTCTCTTTCTCGCTCTCTCTCTACCTATCAATGTCCTCCAACCTGTCTTTCTTTTTCTACTTATCAATCCCTCCTAGCTCTCTCTCTACCTCTTTTCCATAAACTCACTCACCCTGAAAAGTTACAGGTAATATAAAACTTACAGACTGCAGAAAAGTCGGTAATCATATTTTTATCTTGTGTAATCTATATGGTTGTTTTTCTATTTTTCAATTTTATGTTGCTTCTCCTTTCACTTTTTTTAACATTATCAAAACTCCTAAAGTTAATAGTCGTGAAACCGTAATTTTCCCCTCATAGGCAGTTTAAGACCACTTTGCTTTTTCGTGAATCATCTCTTCTTGGAGTGCATTCTGTAAGCACTTGTATTAATCATGAATGAAGTTAAGCGTTTTCTGGCCGTCAAGTCTCGATTATTATTTCGGTTGTCATAAATTTTACGGCTAGCTTTACTGGTCTCGGCGTGCATATAATAAACCAAATTATTTTTTCCAATAACATACCTTGGCTTCTAATGTTTCAAGTTGCGCCATCCGAGGTTCCAAGGTGCCACCTTGGTGCAGTGCACCCTGAAAAAAATAAAAATAAAATGAAGTAAAACTGTTAATAAATAAACGCTCAGACCCTAACCCTGCAGATAAAACTCTTACGGGCACTCCCAAATCGTAAAGTCAGTCCGGGTAAAAAGAGAGCAGAATTACACACCCTCGGCAATAAATAAGATCAAGAATACCCATAAGACGATAAACCCCGAACTAAATAAATCCACGAACCTGTCTTATACGGTTTTATTAAAAAAATCAATGAATATTTGATAGAAAAAAATATATTTTGACTGAATTTGCAATGTTTGAGCGTATATTTTAAAAGATAATCATCATCCAGTATAACTGCATATACCATATATTGAAATTGTCCATTCGCATTTTATAGACAAGAACTTTTCGAACAGCATATGGATCATTTTTCATTAAGCCTTAAGGCACTACGTCAGCTGCCTGGTAAGTGATCATTGATCAATAACCAGTTTGACCTCAGGGCATTCATAAATTCATTAAAGAAGTTTATTATGTTGACGCGGAGGAACCCGTCACATTGACAGGTGGTGAAGGCCCCATCATTTACAGCTATTTAATTTATGTACATTTTTATTTTTGATCGAGATTCAACCTAATTTGACATCTCAGCCTGAAATCTCAAAATTATTACTACTAGTACAGTCATGCTGGTAAGTTATCATTTTTCTTAACTGATTTGACTAATCCTTTTAACAAATCAATAGGCAATCCTTCATTTCGGAAAGCAAGCTTTGCCGCCTGATCCCATTGCGGTGCGCTCTGACCCACGAAGAGATAGATGGTCCAACCCCACTCAACTCTTTTAAAATTGTTTCGTATTGCTTGGAAATGGTTGGTGCAGGTTGGTACTGTGCAAGTAGTCCAAGGTGCTACTATCAATAACTGACGCAAGAACCGAAACAAAAAGACGCATGGTTACTGCTGGACCGTTGATCCATCCACCTACGCGCCAGCATTGACTATCGCCAGTAATTGTTAAGCATGGTTATTATATAGACCACAGTTTATCTCTATGTTCGAAAATTGTACGTCGCAGCTATTCATCATCTTAGCTAGCATCGGTGTCTTGGATTCTTTGCTTAGTTGATTGCTGCAGAAGAATCCTGGTTGGTTTTCCATTTTTTATTTTATTTTTTGTTGTTTTAATGCACTCATCTAAACTGTTTAAAAGTGTGTGAATGTTTCTTTATTTTTGTCTGTGTAGAGTTGTATGAGAATATTTTTGCTCAAGTGCGCGTTGTTAGGTCAGTTCCCTTATTTCTTATGCTTTTTATAAATACATATTTAAATTTAGTTTAAAAAAATCTGTACTGCCAAGGAAATCGTTTATTTTATATATTAAAATATACAATTTGTATTTTACTAGTAAATTATTGGGTTTTGCACTTGATGAGTATGCTTTGTGCGAAATAACACTTACGACACGGATCCAAATGGCCATAAATCAAGTTTTACAATTTTCTCGACTTGTTAATCCAATTGACACGTCTTTTTTTATTTGTGTATTATGTCTTTTTTTCATAGATTGGCAGAACATTTCCTCTTCCCAGCAGCCGTGGGTGTTCCACCTGTGTTGGATCGAGTCCATCAATTCCAATCATTCCATTTTGCAGGGAGCAAGGCCGGTGTCTGTCCAATTTGCAACGAGAACAGGCTACCGCTTTATCTTCAACCTTCGTGTTGATTATGCCTCGAACCGTGACAAATTGAATAAAAAAAGTTTTGATTTCCTCCACTTGTGGGCTTTTTCTACGCTCTTTTCCAGTTTCAGCAAGGCTGAAATTAAGGACCGGATACAAAATACGCACCATTAGAGGACTGTTTATCTTGCGATTCGATTTAATCCTCGTCATTTCTTTTTTTCGATTACGGAGAGATCCCGTTTTTATCGGCCAGCAACCGTTGCTCTCGCTCGTTTATAGCATTCTTAAGGCGTGGCCAGCTCCTTGCTGCGAAGCACGAGGAGGTTCGAAAAGTCGAATCCGGTTCCAATAAGGTCGAGATTTATAAATACAAAGGTCGTGTCATAGGTCGGCCGATGTGCCGGGGAAAACCGTACGGACGAACGGCATGCATAAATAAACATAGCCGCGCTTGGCTCGGCGCAAATTTGAATCTGGTTATTTATAGCATGACCTTAAATGGCATACATTAACTTCATAAATAAAAATCCGTTTCCGTGTAAAATATGTATGGCCTACATTTTGCGCCACCGTGGGAAAATAAACTTAGTGAGACAGTAAAATCCCTTCAGACAAGAGTACAAAAAAAACATTTATTCGATTATATAAATTCGTATATAAAAAACGCAGTAATACACCGATGGGTAAATCTAACGCACCTCTCAATTTATTTAACTTAAAAGTAAATACATTATCTTTCCACATTAGTTACAGGTAATTAGGAGCTATCAAGTCAAAATAAACAGTAAATAATGTTTTGTTTACGTTCCTTCTTCTACCTCCTTTATTTACGTTTGTACGGGTGAATCCCACGTGCACAAAAAAATGCATTATGTTCTTCCATTCTGCAATCCTAAAAATCGCTTTAGTTAATCTTTTTCCTTCGGTGATTTCATTTGATATCATTCTTATTCTTAAACCTTTTCCAGTGGCTATAGTCAGGCATTTGAGTGAGTTGACATGATTAGAGTACGGATACACACGGCGCGACGTCGCCAGGAGACTGAATGTAAATCACCGCACTATAGGAAGTGTTGTAGGGCGGTTTAGAGATACAGGGCTTCATACTAGAAGGTCAGGACAGGGTCGACTTAGTTCTACAGACCAGAGAGACGATAGATACAGCCGTCATCAGGCTCTACGAAATCGCAGCATTATGGGAAATGAGATAAAAAATCTGATAAAACAAGTTCGAAATGTTTCAATTTCCTCCAGGACTATAAGAAGAAGGATCAATGAAAATAACCCGTGGTTCGTGACTCTGCTCGTGAACCTATTCTTACCACAGGTCAGAAAGTGGCCAGGCTTCAACGAGAAATGTGAATTGGACATTGGAAAATTGGGCCGAGTCCTCTTTACAGATGAGGAGAGAATCGGCCTCAAATCTTCAGATGGGTGTAATTTCATATGAAGACGCTCAGAAGAACGGTGCGCCTCTGGCTGTATGGTTCTTTAAGTGGCATCCCAAGATTGGTCATTGATGTTCTAGGGTGGCATTTCCTTGGACGCCCGCACCGAATTGCTTTGTGCGAGGTATATCTCTAACTTCACATAAGTACTTACAAGTCATAATCGAAGAACATTCCTCCCCCCCACACCGATGAGAGATTCTTGTTAATGTAGGATAATGCCAGTCACTACAGAGCACCTATTTTGGATGACTACCTGAATGAGGTAAGAATTGAGTGCTTGGTGTGTCCAGCTCGATGTCCAGATTCGAACACACTTGGGATCCAGGTCCTAGCACCCTAGAAGAGTTTGAAACGACTGTTGTTGATGGTTAGGAAAGAATTCCTCAGGATTTTATCAGAATCTTTTCCAAGGAATGTAAAAGCGTTTAACGGACTTGATTCGTGCCAGAGGTGGAAAGAGGATTCGGCATTAAAGAGGACAACAATTTGTTTTTAAATTTTTATTTCTTTTAGAATTTATTTGTTGTTTGTTCTTCACTCAACAATTTTTTTTTGTAGAATTAGGTAAAATATTTTTGATATGCAAAATATGAATAAACCTAAATACATTAAAATTTAAGGGTGACGCGTTAATTTTGTCCATCAGTGTAGTTATGCTTATGAGATTTATCTACGGGGTCTGTGGGTGACGAACTTGCAATTTCGTCGTTACCGACCATTTTGACCTGCCTACAAACCAACAAGGATGACCAGAAATGAACAGAAGCAACCAGACTGCAGAAATAATTATGCTCAAGCAATTTTTAAAGAATATTAAATCCTACTTTTATAATATGTACGTACAAAGTAAAGTATATAGTTACTTCGTATTTTAATTGTACACGGGATCAGGACTTCCTCAGGAAGTACGTATAAAATTAAAATCTATCTGTAACAACTGGGAAGAGAAAAAAATATTTAAAAAAAGTAAAATTTTTGTCCTAAAATTATTATGTGAGGGGGACAAACAATCTGTACATCCTTGCATTAAATATTTTACCGTTTAAGATTTACGACAGGTCCGAATATTCTCGCTTTTTCATCTTTTCGCAAGATTAAACTTTTGTTGTTCAAGTTAGTTTAAACATCTCCAGAATTTTATAATGGCTTTTCTTTAGGTCTGGTTTTGGTTTTTATGATGGCTCACCTTTTGTACATAAATGTGTAAGGGTCGGAGATCAAGTGCGGTTTCCATCGAGTATTTGTCCCTGTTATACATTACAGTACTTTCATTTAATCCAAAAATTATGCAGACGGTTTACACTATTAATATGAATTTATATTACATAAGCCATCATGATGATCAACGAAAATAAAAGTTGAATGAAAGGTAGAGTGGTGAGCAATTTCGTCCCTGGGTATTCTGGTCCGCGGATTCTCGCTGGTGTTTGCTTGTTTAGCGTGAATATCTTCCTGTTCGACATGTTTAAAAGTCAAATGAACAGAAATCGACAATAGATCGTTTTATTAATGTGGTTTTTAGTTACAATTAATCAATTGATATAAACATAGAAAAATAGGGGAAAATATCGTTTCTACTAAGTCATCGTTTTTTTTATTTTTTCAAATTTTCAACTTCGTGAAGTATTGTAATATATTAATTATGAATATATGGAGATCGTGAGGTGTGGTCTTGTGCGACGTAGGTTTAGAAAAACATTTTGTTGTGTTTTCTGTGTGGATGTGTCACGGTTGAGTATCGGAACACTTTCAACACGACACACAACCGTGACTACACAGAACAAACACACTTTCAGCCCTAAAGATTATCTCAATAAAGCACGAAACTTTGGCACGATAAGGAAAATGTTTTTATAAATCTACATCACATAAGACCTCATCTCACGATGTCCAAATA